TATCAAAATTTTTCGCTAATTAAAAATATTTTTGTAATATTTGTCGGACAGCCCTCTTCAATTATTATTTTAATATCAATAACGAGTTCTGATATGTGGTAACCCTATAATATTTTTTATTAAAATAGTTTCCATGTCGTTTCCAAATTTTCTCGCTAATTAAAGATATTTTGCAGTCAAGCAGCCCTCTTCAATTATTATTATTTTAATATTAATAAATATTTCAGATATATGGCAACCCTACACTACATTATTAGTAATTTCCATGCCGTATCAAAATTTTTCGCTAATTAAAACTAATTTTGTACTTGGCAACCCACCCCAATCAAAAACAATTTCGGTTGCATGGCAACCCTACACTATATTTTTTAAGTTCCAATATCATCCTCATTATTACAATATTTCATAAACTACTAAAACACCAAAAAGTAATTTTAAAGCGCACTTCTACTATAATTTAGAAAAAATATGTATTTAAATTGAAATGGCAACCCTATGATTTTCGTGTACCATTTATATTATAAAAAATTCAATTCGAAGAAAGGTGGTAACTTTATTAAAATTTTTAATTTAGAAAAATAAAAAGCCTGCTAAAAATTGAAATTAATTTACTTTACATATTAATTAAAATTTGTCATTACTTCATTATGCATCAAATATTAAATTATTCAATTGAGTGGCAACGGTACACCAAAATTTCCCAAAATGAATTATGATATTTGTGTCTAATTTTATAGCTTTGAAAAAATTTCCAATTTCCGATCGTACATGGTGACAAAAAAGTACCCGGAAATTATAAACAAAACACCAAATTTTTAATTATTCATCAATAATTATTTTGTCGCCTTCAAAGTAATCCCCACCAGATATAACACACTTATGCGTCAATTTCAGTTTGGGGAACAAGAAAAAATTACAGGGAGCCAAATCTGCTGAAATCTGGTGGTTGATCGATGCTATTCATTGCGTTTATGGTTTTAAATTCGGTTACAATCGTTGCCGGTTGCGATGGTACCGTCTTCGATGAATCTTCTCACTCAAACGCATCAATATGGTCAAATTGAACTCCTTATTGATCGTATGTCCCCCTGGAACAAATTCATGATGCATTACACCACGAATATCTAAAGAAAAAAAAAAAAAACAATGAATCATCTTGGTGTTTGAATGGCTTTGGCGTGGTTTTTCTTCCCTTCCGTTGATTGTTGACTTGTTTGTACGCCATATTCATAACCCCACGTCTCATCGACAGTTATAATGCTCTCCATGAATGTGACATTTTGATTCGCACGGTCAAGCATGTCCAAAGAGACCTGTTTACGATACTATTTCTGTAAAAAGTTCTGCTTTTTCGGGAAGAGTCGAGAAAGAACGCACTTTACACCAAAAATATCCACCAAAATCATTCGAATGGACGCGCGAGAGATGTAGAGCTTTCTTGCCATCCCTATAACATTAGCTTGACTATTTTCAAGCACCATATCTTTCACTCAATCGGTAGTTCGATATGATTGACCGATTGAACGATATTTGCGGTAAAATTTAAGACATAGACAATTAGGTCGACATATTCGGTATCTGAGGTTTGAACATTTAAGATTACGTTTCGATCATTTTTGGATAAAAGCTGGAATACCTACGAGATATATTGTGTAAAGTTTTCCAACTAACGGCCAATTTCAGTTCCAATTATTATATTTCATTAATGTTTACAGAGTAGCAGGAGTTGTGGGGGGACTTTGTTTGGCATACCATACATATAAATATCTTAGTGGCACTTTAAAAAAATTGCAACCAGTCATGCTCATCATACTTTGGTGCCTTGTATCATCCCGATATAATGATATAAAATGTAGTTATGTATATACTCTGTAGCAAAATTTGCGAGCATATAGAAGGTATTTTGTCTTTTAATAACGACAGATTTGACAAACGGAAAAATTTTGAATTTTTAAATGGGAAATTTTATTTCACCGACAACTGGTAATATTATATCTTTTGAAAATATGTGTGTATATGAAAACAGATTTCTATTTAAATTTTCTACAATAATTTACATTTCATTTACATGTAAATAAAAATGTACAATATTCATATACATAGTACCGATTTCGACAGAACTTGTTAAGTAACATTCTTCTAACATTCCTATGTTACAGTGCGAAAATGAACGAAAACGGATAATAATATCATGATACAAAACTTTGCACCCATAATTCCTTTGAAGTATTTACATATGTCACCAAAAATTGTCCAAATCCATCCAAAACTGTTCAAAACTCCAAATATCGAAAATGTAGAGTCCAGTAACTATAGTTGACTTTATACCGAAAATATTGGTCAATGTGTCTGATTTGTAATTGAATTTCAGAGTGAATCATTCCCTGAAATAGTATCTCTATGTATTTGAAGTGGACTTAACTCATAACAGTGTATCTTTGTGCCTAAAATAGATAAAACTGTGAGAAAACTTGACCTAGCCCATACATAACTATTATTAGAATTTTCGAATTTTTGAACATGATTTTACGCCATATGATTGGTGATTGTAACTATTTGAGGTACCTTAATGAAATCCAGGGAACATTTTTTAGTATGTGGCTTGTTAATAGTACGTATTGCTGCTAAATTTTTTTAATTAATTTTTTATTTCATTGGCATTGAAACCAGTTAATATAAAATAAATTAACGCACAATTTGTATTGTATAATACAAAATAATTAATAGTGTTCTGTGTAGGGAGTCTGGCTACTACATAAGGTGATTTTTGCTTTGAAGCTTTTTTTTCATTTTCTTTAAGCGACAAGAGTTCTGGCTTCTGTGTTCACATGGTCAGAAAGTTTTTTCATGTGAGACTTTTCATATTAGTTGATTGATGCGGCCACTGTGTCAATTCCAAGATCGCGTTCAAGATCGTGACTGCGAATATACCAAGGCGCATTGACGTCGCATCTTCAAATTTTTTTTTTATAAGCGGTGGGTTCGTACGACAGGGTTAGGGCTTGAGCCGCTCAAAGTTTTATCCCTTAGTCCAAACTGGTCCGAACACTTGCCCTAAACAAGAATTTTATTATATGTGGTTAGGGCAGAATTTCCAAAATAGCCAATTTATGTTTTTGAATTTAATTTATTTGCACACCGTTTAAGTACAAAGGCATACATGCAACTCGAATTGTTGTATGTGAAATCAATATGTACTAGTTTCATTTAATTTTATTCGCCATTTAGCTAACCATTCAAATATTTAGTTTGAATTTTCTTGTAGTTTTGTCAGCT